TCCAATCAATTCTTGCCTTTCTTTCAAGGATCTTTACAGACACTAAGGCATTTTGTTTCTTCGATTCCGTCTCGGCTTTCCGAACGGTGCCACAAACGCTTATGGCATGCATCAATATAAAAGATTAACCTTTTCCCAAACGGTAACAATAATTAGAATAATAAAGAGGCACACAGTGTTGGCTTTAGCGTGGAGTTCACGTGAAATAGCACGCAAAAACGCAAAGTCCCCTTATTAGTTGTACGCCGGTTTGAACTGAGACGTAACTTCTAGGCGCGATCACTAAAGGTAAGTTTTTTGTCCGAAAACGTTTCCTAACGACGTGTATTGGACATGTTATCTTTGTATAACAATAACTTTAGCCGATTCTGGCGTCTTTGAAATCTTTATTTTGGTAAGGTTCATTTGTCTCGGGTGTTATTGTGTTTTGCTCGTCTTTCGTTGTTACCGGTTGTCTGGTTCAGTTTCGGTATATATCCTGATGTTTTGTTCTGATATAGTTCGTGCACACAAGTTCTATCGCTTTTTACTCAACAGTTTCTTTTTTTTTTTGGTAGAAAAGTTTGACAAGATAATAAACTTCCATTAGCCTTGAAAAACTCACACTGCGTTTTATTACGGAATAGAAAACGTGCGCGCGATCCTCCGCACGAAGGTTTAGGAGTTTGCTATTTCTCAGTTTCCTCTTTGCCAGTTTATACTTCTTTATATTTTTGCCAAGAATGTCATTTGAACTTGAAGTCATGACAACAATTAATATTACGTAACTAAACGTACTGGTCGTAAAATTGACTCACCGTAAACTGCATGTCTTATCGTGCAGTCAGTGTTTAGTAAGGTTACTCCTTAACTTCGCGAGGGTTTTGGCAAATTATCCAGTCTCAATCCAAATAAACTGGTTTATTTGTCTTTTCCAACAAACAATTAGTTACACAAATATTTATTTGGTTAATAAGGAATGGCCTCAGTACGGACTACAGTAGTTGACTCGGTTGTCCATCCAGCGGTTTACACGGCGGCGTTCAAGACCACGAGGTATCGGAGCGTGTTCTAAACGATACCTTTTTAAGTTCCGGAGATTGGGAAACGACAACGCATCCCCGGGAATCTACGTGAATTACCTATACAAATAGGCTGCTGCTTGGCAATCCAAGTGCTGCTGCATGTATACCAATAACCTCAGGCTTTAAAAGCCCTAACCGTGATGCTTCCTTGCTCAGTCTTGCAGAAAAATGAAAGCAGCCGACGCACTATCGACGTTTACTAATATATATTTGTCAATCATGTTGCTGTTGACCTGTTACAGAAAGTAAGTTGTTCTTCAAAAGTTGAGACAGTTTGTTATTGCTATCATCGATGACATTTAATTCTAATCTGATTAAAAGCCCACGTGGCTTATCGGGCCGGCGCTCAACTCTAGGTCCCATAGCATGAATCGACTTAAGGAGAATCGCTACTCTCCTTGGTGGGATGCTAGTTCATCGCAAATTACCCCAGCATCAGTTTTTGTCAGATTACTTTGCCGGTACCTATTTATACACATGAGTTGAGTGAGGCACTGTGGTATAAAAGTGTTTTGCCCAATAACTCAACATATATAGTGACGATCCGCTCGATCCAGAGTTGGAATTATTGCGCGTAATGTAAGTTGTAGATGTTAGATACAAGATTGAACCGTGTTGCGCACAATTTTGCCGACCGTAGATACAAGTTTGAAATTATTGCGCGCAATTTTGCTGATAGTACTACAAGTTTGGAATTGTTGCGCGCTATGTCGCAGAAGTACAAAACGATTCTACATGTATGGCTTTGCAACTTTGCGCACAGCATTTTCAGGGCTAGAAACACGGTGTAATTTAGTCACTACGTGCAACTGTTGCGCGCAACGTTGTGCGGCGCCGTGTATACGCGTACGGGTCTAAACAAACTCATGGTTAAAGCTTACTATATCATGTATTGCAGAGTTAATTGTGAAGAGGATGTGATAACCAAGTTCTTTTCTGACTATGACAAAGCTGTGCGGCCCGATTTTGGTAAGTCAAAGCAATTCATCTAAACAAATGATTTGATGCTATAAATTAATAAGGGTTAGTATTTAAACTGCGGTTCTTTGACGTGAAATGTATGAACTTATTTGCAGCCTTTATACATATATACATTAATAGTTTATTCGCACAATTACAGCCACACATAAATCACTTATGCTATACTTACAAAAATATAACTTAATTACTTTTTTAAATGGTACGTGCAATACTTACATTACAGACAGTCGCATCAGTTGAATATATCTAGCATTAAATATTTTATAAGGAGTTTCACTTACAATTGTTTTAACTTTTTTACATACTGTTTTTACAATTTTGCTTTTTACATTATGTCACTTGTATAATTACATTCATTTCAAAGAAAAATATGTATAGTTATGGCTAAAAGGGTCCCAAAAGCCACACATTGACTGATTATATATGTGCATTGTTTTTCTAGCATGATATACACTTACTATGTCTTATCTGTGAGGAAGTGTGGGGCTCCTCTAGTTGCAAGAAAAAAAATTATATGACTGAAAATATCAAACTAGTTTTTTTTTTCATCAGATAAGGGAAATCCAACTACTGTCACGGCAGACATATACGTGGAATCCTTTGGAAACATAGAAGAAGCGAATATGGTGTGGATACATTTTCATGATTGCTTATTTGTTTGTCTTTCATGCATAGTGGGAGACGCAGTGGCCTAATGGTTAGCGCGTTGGACTCCGGATCGAGCGGGCCTGGATCGAGCTTTGAGCCTCGGCCGGGCCACTGTGTTGTGCTCTTGGGTAATGCACTTAACTCTTCACAGTGCCTCTCTCCACCCAAGAGTATAAACTGGTACCGGCGACAATAATGCTGTGGGGTAACCTGCGATGGACTGGCATCCCATCCAGGGGGGGTAGCAATACTTGCTTTTGTGATAAGCTACCAACGTGTGCGTCAGTTGTTGGCTCGATTGCGGCTTTAACTTACATGCATGTTCACATACATTTATTCAAGGCAGTGATACGAGAGATAAACTGCCTCCGGCGCTTATAACTCCGGTTTATCTAGCATGCAGCAGCGACTGGTAGTATTGCTACTCCCTCTGTAGGATGGGATTCTTGTCGATCGGTGATGTTATCTCTTTTTTTTATTTGATTTAGATATATAACCAAGCTATAACCACATATTTCGCGCGCTTGAAATCACAATAATACTCCCCAGACTCGTCTCAAGGTGCCGCATTTCGTCGGAAAAGAGTGGGAAAACAAGGAGCGTGGGTAGCAATTTAAATGGAGAAATGTCCCAAAGCACTAGACTACGAGCAGTCACTCGTGTTTCTCAGGGATAGTCGAGTGGGAGAGCACGCGAGCGAGTGCAGCAATTACAATTGATTAACCCTGAAAAAAATTGAGGGACTGCTCGTAGTCTACCAATTCCAGGTGCACCGAACACGACCAAGCAGCGACACCTGGAGACGAGGCAGCCTCTAGTAAATTACTAATTCGTTTCTATTTGGTAAATAGGAATATAAAGCATACATCTACTTCCGCCAAAAATGGACAGATTCTCGTCTTGCTGGGAAGCTCAACCGCACCCTTACCATAAAAGGAGCTGAGATCGAAAACATCTGGGTCCCAGATCCTTACTGTTATAATGCGCGCGAATCGAACATGATGATGCCGGATGCTGAGATCCACAGTAGCGTCAGTATTCAGCCCAGCGGAGATGTACTATACAGTAAAGGGTATGTACACCGAAGCATATAGCCGGCTACTAGCAAGTGATGAATTGTTGAATGAGCTTCATTACGGTTACCCTGCGAGACAGAGATTGACTTCTATTTCGGCGCACAGGCGACGAGAAGTAACGAGGTTCGGAAAGGTGCGGACGAGGTGAAGAAAGAGAAGTGAATCTATGTCTCGCTCGGCGCAGCTTGAAAAAAAATAGAAATTTCATCATTTGTAATCCATCTCAATATTCTCCACGTTTCCTTGTTTCGTTATAGCTTATTATTACCTCCTTGGCGTTTTCTACCTCGATAAAATGGTTTTAATATATTTGAAAAGGTCTTGATAAACGGCAAATTCGAAATCGAAATCTCATTTCCAAAGAGAAAGTAATTTATCGTCAGAACACAGGCTTCTGTTGAACCTTCCCGATCAATTGTTTTTCTTTTTCGTTGACTATTTGCTCATAGAAAACACGGGCTCGTAGTGTAATTGTAATTATACACTAAATATCATTAACAACACTGCATAACTAATATATTGTTATTTTATTTTTGTTATTGATTTTATGCAGAGTGAGTGTGCTCGCGTCTTGCAATATGGATCTCCGGAGTTTTCCACACGATTCACAAAGTTGTTTTCTCAAGTTTGGAAGGTGTAAGTTAAAGCACATATTATCTATTTATGACCAAAACTGAACAAAACAAGTAATATACATGGTACGAAAAACAATCAAGAGTTGTTAAAACTATCTAAAAGATTGTAGGTTAACTTGAATATTGTTACTTGTTTATACGGCCAATTACGGAGAGCTAGATTAATTCGGAATATTCACTTGGGAACAGCCAATCAGATGACAGCATTTTGTTCTACAAAGAAAACAGCCTTCCAGGATGCCCTTTGCAATGGGCAAAGTTGGAGCCATTGTGTGCTAGCCTGGATTCGAGAACCTTTCTCGTTGGTCTTACTTTATCTGCCTAATAAAAATGTCAGAAAATGTACTTGCCGGGCAAGTGATGGATAAAATGAACTAGCTTGCCAGAAAAATTCCACCCTAAAGCCAGAGGACCTATCGGACTGCACTTTCCTTGCACACTTCATGAGTAATGTTAATTCGTAAACACATGGTACCGTTTCACTCCTACATCCTAGGAACTTTTACCTTGATATTCAGGGTCGAGTTTTAAAAAAAAAATGATAAAACAACAAGGATGAAGATATTATTCAAGCAACTCGGAAAGATACTTCCGAGTTTTACCTACAGAAATCGAACCTATGACCTTCGCACACCGGTCGGACGCTCTACCACCGAGCTACAGCAGACTCTGGTCATACTCCGACTCCTGTTGGGAAAACTCGGAATTCCGGTTTCCGACTACCTATTGTGTCGCTTGGCTGAATAATATACTTTATCTTTTATATTTCTTTCTCGTTGTGTATCTCCCAAGGCTTAACTAGTTACGCATCATTTATTTCGCCACAATAATTTTACAGGTGTCCTTACTTAGTTGGGGCAACTGCTATAATTCTTGACACTTTAATGAAGTTATTAATTATTATTATTAATTTATTATTCTCAAATATTTTATTGTTTTACACCTACATGATAGTTATTCTACGGTGGATATCGTGTTTAAATGGAACGACGCGACTGATGTCGATGTGGGTACTGAACAGATTGCCCAGTTTTTGAGTCTCAGAGGAGACTGAGTTACTCTTCAGATATAGTAAGCATTCGCCATAGGTTAGTAATACTATCACTCGGTCACTTCGTTTCACATCGGGTGGTCTTCGGCATCCTTCTGGAGACTATTGGAAATATGTTTGCGACCCATTTCCGATAACGGTTCGGATTATTCGCGAGTCATCGGGTGATCTTCGGGCAACTTTGAAATATTCGGAGGTCTTCGGGAAGCTTCGATCGGAGCCTGTTTACTCCTCAATCAGAATTCAGTATTTTTCCCTCTATTAATAAAATCTTTATAACTATAAAATCTCCGCTAAAGAATCCCCCCTTTTTGTATTTTCAGGAAACTACTCAACTGTTTACCGTAAACGTTCTCCCTTCAAAAGACGGGGGGGAGGAGTCCTCTCGACATTACTATCTCTTTCAAGTCTACCTACATAACCCCGACATTATAGTTGATAGGCTCTTTGTGACTGGAATTGTTTTCTGGATGGTACATAAAGATGACATGTGAAACAGAATGGCTCTGGGTATCACCCACAATCTTTAACCATCATGTTTCTGCTTGGATCACTCAATGGCACTCTGCCTAAAGTCAGCTACCCAAAGCCTTTGGACTTGGTATCTACTGGTGTCGTTCGCGTTTTTTTTTCTGTCGTTAGTGGAATGTATGATCGTGTTTGTTTTGAATTTGAGCGCCGCTGGAGATACGGAGCAAATCAAGTGCAAGGTATTTTTTAGAGTTTAAACACAGTCTTTCACGGATTATTTTTTTTTTGTGATCTCGATCGGAGGTGCCGAGGAATGGTTCATCATTACATGAACGTGTTACTTGTTCGCTTTAAGGCGGGACTTAACCTGAATGCCATTTTTCCGCCACTGGAAATATCTCGTTTCACGGTTTCAAGCAATCCAAACAACTCTATGCTCATCTTGTGAATCTATGTTACAGGGTGTTTTTTGTGGTAAATTTTGGGGTGATTTTTGCGTATGGTTTTGAGGAAATAGTTTTTTTAAAGATATGTATATTTTTGGGAAATAAGAAATATTGAAGATTTGAATGTAGTTTATATAAATTAGAATTTAAAGTTAAAAATTAGTGGATGGACACCAACAGACAGTTGATCCCATGACAAGCAAGAGCACCCGCGTGTGTATCAACTGTCTGTTGGTGGTTCCAAAAATCATTTTCTTTCTTCTATCCCTTCTTTAAACCTCTTAAAATTTTCAGTGAAAGTCCCGCCTTAACTCAGGTTTCTGCTGATTGAGTGACCAACTAGGAGTCATGGCTTCTCCCCTGAATGGGATGCTTGTCCATCACTGGTAACCCCCATGCATTATTTAAAAGGTTGCTCTGACAGTTCATTGTGATACCCATTTAGATCCTGGATATATCGACGATTTTATTTCCCCAATAACACGACACTACACATGTACGACCCCGGCCAGGGCTCAAACATGGGTCGTCCACGTCTCGATCGGGATTCCAACAGACGCACTGGCCATTGTAGGTCACCGGGAATCCGAATTGTTCCTATTTGTATGCAGAAGAACATTTTTCTGTCAGAAATTTAGTCAGGAAAAAAAAACTGCAATTAGAAATCGTGTTAATCCCATTTTCTTTGTCTACCTCTTTCAGGTCAACAAAAACACACCCTCGAGAAAAATTTCTCAATCCATAAAATCACGCCATTGGTATCAACAAGGACAGAAAATCTCCCACTTCAAACGGTCATGTAATTAACAGGAGTTTTTGAAGACGACGACCTAGAAATGGTTTAACCCGGGCGAGTAAAGCCGAACAAGTCTGTAGTGGATGGATTGGTGCGGACAATTTTGGGGATTTTCTCGGCACCAGCAAAAAGGAAACGGCTGCTGTTTATATTGACAAAGCTTTCCCAGTTTTATTTCCTTTTGTTATTTATTTTATTCAATGTTTTTCTATTGGGTTTATTTCTCGCTTTTTGGCTAGAACGTGCAATTACCTGCTACGCTCATACTGAAATAGACGTTTTAATGCGAAGCTGCAATTATAAATTGTACTCAACGATGCACGCAACAGTTTCAGTCCAACTTTGTGGCTACACGCTAGCAACATTTTTGCGCAACGTTGCTGACGGCGGCAAGTAATGTAGTTTCTGACGCTTACCAATATTCCGACGGTACTGCCAGATCAAATAGTCAAGACAAATAAACCGTGCTGCTATTCAGTGTTTTTATTCTCAGCTGAGAAACGTCTAGAAAGAAACAATAATCACCATGTTTGCGCATAGTTTAATAGAGGGAAATGGTTATGAAGCCCGGCAAACTTCAAAGGAGCCAAACAAAGAGGCCAAGATTTATGTTGAAAGGTCCTAGTCCAGTCCCCTGAACTCTCTCTTTTACCCGCCCTATATAGGGGTCTTAACCCAGCGGGAGTAGAGAGAGTTCAGCATCACTTTGCATGCGCATGGCTCAGAACGAACCAAGCAAAATTCCCTAGATCCCAATCTACGCTCATTTCCGCTCGACGCCATGTTTTATTCTCGCAGCTTCACCAGCACCCGGGATCCTACATGTATGATCACCTCATGTAATGGAAAATTATCTATTTTAGAGCTCAAGGAATCGTTTAAAAATGTTAAGAACAAATGGCAGCTAATTGGGATTGGTAAGCCGATTATTTTGGCAGCTCAGATTCAGGCCTACGACACGCGAGGCATGCTGGCAAGTGACGGATACGAACAAGATGGCGACTGTATATAGGAGCTCGTGAAGTTAACGTTTGGTGTCATTGTAAAGCTCTTTGGCCGATATCTTCATGGATTAGATGGGCGATATGATTGTTAAGTAATTCAACTTGGGCTGTTCCCCGATCTCCCGAGCCGTAATTTCAAAGCGGCATTGCAAGAAAGCAACTCGATTATGGTGTTTTATTCGGTATGATTCCTTGTGGCTGACTGCCTCTGAGGCTGGATTGTTGCTCAGAGCTGATAGCTCTGTTTTAATGGTGTGTAGAATACAATTGCTGTTTATTGTGGCATGGTTTGTTTTCCAGATAATGGATAATTTTTTAGTCGTTAATGTTCTGTTTATTTGGCCAAATTGGGCACTATATTTTGAACATTTGCCTTGTAAAAATATTTGAAATTCTGGTGAATATTACAATTCTAAAAGTAAGAAATATAGGCACTTACTTATACTGTACCTCCCGGGTTATAACTGTCGTATAAATAATAAACAGATAACAAAGCAACTAGATTTGGTAATAGTGGTAGATTTTTGTTATAACATTATTTTGGCCAGGGAATCTTTGAAATTGTCATATTTTGGATAAAATTATGACCTAATTAAAATATAAGAATTTACATGTTGTAAAGTGAAACCGTCAATGATCGCTTCAGAAGCGATCCTTGCAGGGTTTTTTTGCAATTCTCTGAATTTGGTGATGCATTCTTTTATGTCCCACTAGTAAAACTATGGCATTCACTTTCTTCTGACTAGTTTACACCTGTATGTACATGTTCTTCAATCTCCATAAATTTCGCTATCGCTTTTGATCCCAAATGTTGCAACACTAATTATTTTCCAGTACGTCTGGTTACGTATAAATTTTACATTTCCTTCTTTGCATCAGCCTATTCAAAAATAACTTAAGACTTAAGAAGCAAAAATTAAATCAGAAGTGTTTGTGATGTATGATTTCACTTACTCTAGATCACAGTAATTTATTATTTCTGTTTGCCAGAGTAGATTTCAAACTCTTTGTTAGATCTCTTTCATTCACACCCTTTCCAATACTGTTCAATAAGACTAGCACTGTAGATGGTGATCATAAGTGAATGATTTAGTGACACAACAGGACCGGTTTATGCCCATCCTAAATGCTACTGTAGCAGTGACTACTCAAAGTTGACACTCAGTATTACAAAATGGCTGATGATAGATTTCTTAGTGATATAATTGGTGATGTTTGTGAACATGCACTGTAATATTATTGGCAAGATTTTGAATTCCACATTAATTTTTTGAAGAAAATATTCAAAAATCATAGCATAGTCATTTCTCAGAAAACAATACATGTACACATGTACTTTTGATGCTTTCCTTCTTTATTCTTGAGGTCATTAATAGGCACAATTTTCCTTTGTTCACTTTGTACATGATTCTTTTGGTTGTAATTGCTGCTTGCCTTTACAACAGCAGTAACCAATATAACAGTCGGGGGAACAAGTGCTGTTTTTGGCAAATCTTTGTTCAAGTGCTCACAAGAGTTACTGGTTACTCCAAAAGTTGGCATGCCATCAGGATATGCTTAGCATTTTTGGGATGAAAACCGCAGGCTCAGACAGTTATTGGAGACCGGAATTTTAAATCAACTTGTACTAATTAAGTCTTGTTCCTTGTTAACAGCTATATATCAACTTGTACTTGTTCCCTTGTTTTACTGAAAAACTGCCGTTTCTTTCATCATGAGTGGCAGAGACAGTAAGTGCCATAATTATTGGTACACCAATTATTGAACTTTCTTTAGGTAGGTTATAGTAATTAAGGCATACAGCCAACAATTATCTTTACATATAGGATGTGGAAATTATTTAGAGGCAAGAAGGCAAGTCTGACATTCCAATTGGGAAAATAATAACAAATACAGCAA